AACAATAGGAATTCCTGTACATTACACAGTGGGCAATTTTGCCTAGGCATGTGGACATTGGATTTTAAAGCGCTGGAAAGATCTCTCAGATATGTTTTTGTAGATTTTCGAGTGTGCTCTTTCTAATGGAGTCACTTACAAAGTTCAAAATCCATGTTTTAAGGGTTTTGCAGAGATCCGGTCTATAGAAAACCTTTGCAAAACCAGTATAAGTCCATTGAATCAGTCGTACTCGGAAATCCATAAAACAATTATTTGTAGGCCTCCAAATCTCTTTTCTAACGATATAAAAACCACCGGCCCCAAGTACCACGGTGCTGCCTCAAATTTAGCCTTCCACGAAAACTTACAATTTTTTCCCCAAAAACTGCTGTAAATTATATATTATTCGATGCAATTTTTCACGCTAATTCCGAATATGTCCTTACTTTTTAGCTAGGATGCTTTTTTACTAAGACAAACGTGAGAAAACGATAAAACTCCAGGGTTTTTGTAAAGTCTACAACTTCGCCCAGAAATGTTTGGGCAAGTTTGGGCATTCCATCTAGACGGCCACATACAGAGGAACAACTGCTGAAAGTTTCATCGAAAACAGAGCTTGAATGTGGATGGCGTGCCCACTTTACTGGGCGCATGTTTCCGAAAGACATCTCGTGCAGATAAAAATCATGTTCTTTCCTTTTTGCAAACCCATTCGGACAAAAATTTTTTTATGAATCAATAGCCCAAGTGCGCAGCTTTCAGAATATACATGTTACAATTTTTAAGTGACTGACTATTTGACAAGAGAAAACGATTTTCGTCGAGTTGTAGCAAAAATTGCAAAAAATTGGGACTTACCCATCTCGACCACTGAACGCATTTGGATCAAATAACGGGTGGGCCAGATAAAACCGGCCACTTTTGTTCTTGTTTATTAATGCCCTTCTATGAAGTTTCCAGTTCTCATTTTACAGTCAATCGATAGAGAATTGATTCTCTACAAACCCTGTAATTTTAATCTCTGACAGCATTTTTCCTGTTTGAGTACCAATCAGAATATTGAAGGGTGCTGAGTTGTCGAAATGCGACGCGCTTTTGATGTCTCCTTCTTCGAGATTTCTATCCTATTGTCTGATATTCAATAACTAATTTTTCTAGGTAGAAAGATAAAGAATTTTGTGTTCTATTGATCACACTAATATAAAACTTTATACAATGTTTTCGCTACGTCAGCTGGACTCATAATTAGTTCTCAACCGGCTTTTCAATTTTTTCAAATTAAATTAATTGTTTTAATTAATGATTTAAATTGAAAAACTTTCTTTATACGTCAAAAAATGCAGAATTTAAGTCTGTGTAAGGTGGTAAGACTAAAACTCTGGATTCAGAACGTTTTACTGCTTTTATAGTCAAAACACTAAAGTCTATGAGAAATAGGTTCAGAAGTTAGGTTTTTTTAGATTTATCAGTTTTTTGCACAGAAATTTTTCTAGAAAAGTGAGCTGCAAAAATGTCGAAAAATACGTGAGAAGATGCAGAATTTTCTGGTGAATCTTCTGATGTTTTCAAAATTCTTATGGAATCTGTTTTTGGATCAAGGCAAATATTTTTCTATTTTCAGTGTGTCGCAGTTCGACAACTCAGTACCCTTCAATATTCCGATTGGTACTCATATGGGAAAAGTGCTGTCAGATATTAAAATTATAGGTTTTGTAGAGAATTCAATTCTCTATCGATTGACTGTAAAATGAGAACTGGAAACTTCATAGAAGGGGATTAATAAACAAGAACAAAAGTGACCGGTTTTATCTGGCCCACCCGTTATTTTTCACCATTAAATTGGCCATGGGCTAGTGTATATAAAACACTATTTAAATCATTAAAAAAGTAGCTTTCGTTTTTTCACCTAATTTCTATGTGATTGCCCACTGTGCATTATATATGTGTTTCACGCTGCGAAAAAGATAGGAGCAAAATTCAATAATATATACATAATAAGAGAAGAGAGAATAGACTAGGCGCACATGATAGTATGCAAACTATGGTGTAATATAAAGAAAATTTTTTGAGTTGGTTCTCAAATTTTTTTTGCTTTTTTTTTGTTGTAAAGTATCTGAAGTGTATGCAATTGCTCGGAAAAAGAATTCCCACAAAATATGCATTCATTGCAACTGTATATCTTGTGTGAAGATCTAGAAGGCAAAATTATCGAAGATATTCCATTTCTTTTTTTTGGCTAATTTTTTTGGCTTTTGATGCACTTTCAGAAAAGTGTCGACAATAAAAAGAAAACGATTATGTATTAAAACTAGGGCGAACAGAACAATAATAAAACAATTCGGACAAATAAGAAAGAAAAAATTCTCTTACTTGACATCATCACACCATAAATGGTGGTGTTCTTTTTCATTCGAGAAAAAAGCAACAATTTTTACCCATCGAAATTTCACCATTTTGCATGAGCATATGTAGAGCTGAATTGAGAACAATTGTAAGTTATTAGTTTAATATTGGACAGGAGTTTTCTCCAATAAGTTTTTGCCAAATTGAATTGAATTTCGGTCACCAAGTTGCGTACAGATTTTGCAGAGAACGATAAATGTATATTCATTTGGTGGAACAGTCATTAACGAAATAGATCGAGTGCTTGTTCACCACGATTATTACTGGCGAGACCTAAATGACAGACAAAATAATGTTTGTTCAAATCGATAAAAAACGGAAACTGCTCGTTAAGCAGAACGTTGTACATGGCAGGTGTCATATTTTAACTTTTGAGAAAAATTTCTTGTGGCTTGAAAAGATCAACGCATTCCACTGAGATGAAAGAAGACTGAAAATATTTTCGAAACAAAAAAACAAAATGATTTACTGTAGAGACGAATGAGATTTGTTTGAATGAAAAGATTTTTTTTGATTGAGGAGATAGACGTGATCTGAAAAAACGTCTTTTTTCTTTGAAAATAGTTTCAATTGATCGAGCCTGCAGAACTGTGTATGCACTAAACTTTTAACAGTTTTCCCATATTTCGTTCATGTACACTGGAAAAACTAAGAAAACGAGTTCGAAAAAATTTTTCCCATTGTAACTATTTATTGTATGCATTAAGAGTCATTTTTATATATTCTTAAACATTCTACCTTTATGGAAGATGTTTTACAGAACTTCTTAAGTCATCAACTTAAGTCTACACTTAACGAGTAAGTCCATGTCTTATCTAAGTTTGAGACAAACTTAAGTTGACGAACTTAAAGTGTTGCACAACTTCAGACTTAAGTTTGACTTAAAGTGAAGTGCACAACTTAGTCTCACGGTCCTAAGTTAAGTCCATGCACTTAATTGCTGCATGGATGCATTGCAATCTACTGTACTTTTTCCAAAAATGAATAGAGTTCGTGATAGTTCGGATATGGCATGAGCGTATGAAAAATATCGAAAAAAGATTAAAAAAACAAGCAAACAGTATACGGTGTGTCCAAACTATTAGATAGCATTCCCATTAGGGATGTTCAATTCTCGGTTCCGGAACCGAAACCACAGTTCCGATTCTTATCCCTAATTCTCATATTCTTTTAAATAGTTCTGATTCACTGAAATGTCTACAAACAGAAGTGCGAACTTGTGGGCCGAAGAAATAAGAATATTGATTGAATCCATTCACGAAATGGAAAATGAAAAACTCTGTTTTCAAAGTTTAGCAATAAAATAACACTTGAAGCCAAGCAAAAATGCTGGATACGTGTTGCCGATAAAATTAGTGTACTAGGATATGCCAATATTTATTCAACTCGATATAATAATAATAATATCGATCAATTTAATGATGATGACATTCCGACACCAAATGCGGATGGCAGTATTATATGTGAAATAATATGTGTTATGGGTTTGTGCATGTTTTATTAAATGTCTAATGCATTTATCATCTGTTATTGTCTATGGAAGTTATATATGTATGGCATGTGCTTTCTATTCATGTTTTTTGCATGCTTACATATTCTACTTTACTATTTTCTCTATTCGTACATAGTTTTAAGTTTATTTAAGTGAGGCGCTAGAAATTCAAACTCTCACTAAGCTTCCTCATCATTCTATTCGACAACCTCAATTTTTTTCAAATTTCTCCATCGAAAAAAACCAAAAAAGATTTTCACCAAAAAAACTAAAACTATCCAAACATTCCCAGACAGACCTCATTAGTCTCAGATTTTGATGGCGATTCCGAATGTCACATGTTTTTTTGTCAAAAAGTGGAATTTGATCCAGATGCGTAAAAACTCAAGACGATTAACAGTTGCATCAACGCAGATGTTGAATTACTACAACCGGAAACTCAAAACGAAAAGATATCCACATAAAATTTTCAATGACTTTTATTTTGGCAATTGAGAGAAGATAGTTTGATGTGTAACCTAACCATTTTCCTTGAGTTTTCTATTCCGAACTATCAACCGCACTACCTACAGTATTTATAGTAAAATATTTTTCATTGTGCTGGGAAACTTACGTTTCTCTAAAATGCAAAAGAAGTCTTGAAATAAGAACAAAAAAAACACAAGGTACAACGAAAGTTAAGCTTTGGGATACCACAATCGCAAAAATCACTGTGCATAATATTTCCTCAACACCATAGATAATGCATGATATGGTACTTGATTGTCAATCCCACCACATCGTAGATTGTATGAGCAGGAACATCTTTCAGAGTCATTGGTTTTACTCATGAGCGACGATAAAAACGTTGATCAATATATTTTTCGATGGGTAAAACAATTCGTGTGGCCAGCGTTTCAATATATGAATTAAAGTCATTGCTATTTTTAAGTAATAAATCACGCAAATCGTTTTGAAGTTGACTGTCGTCACGAAGGCTTTGCACAATTAACGTTTTTAGATCAGGATTATCATTATACAGTACAATTAGTGAAGATTTTTTTGACGATTTTAAGCCTCTTCTTGTATTTATCATTTTTAAAAACAAGTATTAACGTGGACGAAGAACAAAATAGGAGAATTTTTTATATCAACATAACACGTCCGCTCTGTATGATAAAGAAAAGTAGAAAAAAAAGAGTCTGGATTTTTAACAGGTCGAAAATCTGGCTTACGAAAGAAGAGTTGTCTATTTTTATTAATTGGAAATCATGAGTCGTTATCTCATTCCTTTCATAAGTATAATACTATCCAAAGCTTAGAATAATCGCCACTGTGTTTTTGAAACCGATAGAGTATTATGTGCCGTGTCAACTACGAAAAAAATGAGTAATGGCCATCACACTACTCTTTTTTCTCGTTCTTTTTCAACTATATGTTACTTGCACATGTGCAACCAAAAGAAAAACACGAAATAAATCATCATCCCCAGAAACTCACAAGTTAAAGTGTATAAATGTACTACACAGAATACTATACCTAGTCATTCTGATTCACTATATTTTTTTGCCTTACTTGTCAAAGACAAAAATTTCAATTTTGAGTAAAAGATTTTATCTGTTTAAAAACTGTAGTGACATTTGTGATTCATTTTTTGTATTTGAGATTCAAGTTAGGCATTTTTTTTAAATGGCGTCATTTATTGCGAAAACACTTGTGGGCAATGAGTTTGATAAAGTGATGAAAGGTAGATTTCTCTTAGTCTCGGCGCACATCCTGCCTGTGTTTACATTGTTTGTGTACTGTTTTACGTAGGGATCGGCCTCGGCGACAACGACAATAATCCAGTTAACAGCGATGTGTCATCAGATGATTTACTTGTAAGTCTATCTGAATATATCAGTTTTCTCGATTTTTTATTTATTCTGTGCGTTTCTAGGCTGCACAAGCTAAACGTGATGCCGACGATAAACAATGTAAAGCAAAGCATGCTGAAAGCGAACGACAACGTGAAGAAGTTCGACAAAAAATACGAGATAAAGTGTGTTTTTAGATTTCTTTTTCTATCCCGACACATATTCTTCTTGACGTATTATTTCTGTGTATATGTATTTGATAGTATAACATTCAGAAAAAAGATGACAAATCAAGATCACCCACACATTCACCAAAAGCTACGTCGTCACATAAAAAACAAACGACAACAGTTGAAACGAGAACTGTACCATCGGCTGCAACTGCGCAAAACAACACTGGTAAGTATAAAGTTGTGTTTTGTATTGATTTTAGAAGAAAGCAGTTTGTTGCAATTAGAATGAAGATGTATTCTACACTCTCCCTGATCGTTCCTTATCGTTCATTTTCACAGGTTTCGATCTGACAAAGATAACAACAAATGCATTCAACAGTTTCAAAGAGAAATTCAGTTGGAAATAGCGGATGAATGGACGAATCACGAACAGACGCAATATCAAGTTCTCCTCATCATCTTTATATCCATATATTCAAAACTGTGTTACCTGTTGATTTCAAACTCGATTTTTTGCATTTCAAGAAATTCATTTACTGCAGTTTCGATACTTGTGTACGAAATTGAATTTTTCTCGCAGGCTGAAGCGATTCTTTTATCAACACAAAGGACACGACACTTTCTGCGCACTTCTGTTTTTCTTATCTTCTTTCTCGAAATATAGTTAAATAATCTGTACATTTTAGTTCGACATATACCATTCATATCACCTAGCCCCTAAAAGAAACTTTGTTCCAGACTTCTATTTCTAAACACTCGGCTATAACAATGTCTGAGAACGAGGTAAATTTAAACGCTTTATTATCTGTACCTGCTGGTGTTTTTTGCAGTTTTCGAACGCTAAAAATTTACTTAACAAGTTGTTTTTAGCTCAATACAACTTGTTATTTGAATCTTTGACAATGATAAAGGCAGTAGAAGACTTTAGCGTAACTTGAGTCTAAACCCAGTGACAGAAATTAGATTTTGCTAAAAGAAATCATAATATGACTTGACGATGCTGACGGCGACAATCGGGTCTATTGCTAGGTTACTTCAGGATTTTCTTTCAGATCCGTTCAAAACTATAGTGATAAAGTTGTTTTTCCTGCGGGTTGATTTATAACGTCATTTTTGAGAAGAGAATTTATTTCTCTCACATATAGTCTATTGTTTTTTAACTTCGTTTGTCATTGTGCTGTGAGCTATCAAAATTCATTCGGGATCCAATACATCACTGTTTGCTCCTTTCTTTAAAAAGAAAACGAGTTTGATTCATCCTTCTAAAAAGAAAAGTTAATATTATGCTTTCAATACGTTTGATTAAGCAGCCTACCTTACAAGTTGTTTTGCAAATTTTTTTCTAAATGAATGAATCAAACTCGTTTTCTTTTTAAAGAAAGGAGCAAACAGTGATGTATTGGATCCTGTTACGCCCCGTAATCACCCAGCGAGATGTTATATCACGACAGAACGGAAAAAGACCACTGCCCGACTGAGGAATTGAACCCC